GCTTGGACAGTCATAATCCGTGAGAGAGGGACCCATGCATCAGTATTTTAAAAATTCTTTAGGTGATTCTGATGTGCAGCCAGGATTGAGGATTACTGGCTTAAACCCTCTTCTACACTACCCTCTTTATTTAGTTTAAGACGCCCCAAGTGGTGTGGTACCAAATGTAAGTACAGCAAGAATGAAGGGAAAGGAGAAACAGAGCATTTGTCTATGCCCTAATATTGGTTGTCATAATTGCAACAGGGCTTTGCCTGTATTGTCTCTATGCAGGGTTCCTGATTGGTCAATAGGATTCTCAGATTATTTAAAAAATTTTGTTTCAAATTAGAAATGAAAAATTCAAGTATGTAGATTTATTAAACAATTATTTAAAAAACACTGAAACATTGGATGTGAGCAAAGATTTACTATAAGCTAATTCTCCTGATTATTTATATTAGCCAAAAAGAGAGATCACATGAATTAAATAATTAGGCAATTAAATCAGTGGTAATCAACATTTAGCAACGTGTGGAGCCATTTCCAATTGTCACCACTAGGGGGATGCTATTGGCAGCTAGTGGGTTGCGGCCAGGGATGCTGCTAATCATCTTACAGTGCAGAGGACAGTCCCCACAACAAAGAGTCATCTGGTCTAAAATGTCAACAGTGCCATGGTTGAGAAACTCTGGGTCAAATAAATGAAATAATAACCATTCTATGGAATGCTATATAGCCATTAAAAATAATCATGTAGATTAGTGACTCTCAACTCTGGCTGTACATTAGGATATTTGATCTGATCATCCAAAGAGTTTTAAAAGGCCTCACTCCCAATTAATTAGCATCAGACTTTTTGGGTGAGGACCCAGGCATGGCTACGTTTTATATTCTTTCTAGGGGATTGTAATGTATGGCCAGAGTTGAGAACCACTAATTTAGACTCACATTATATAGAGACATTAAATGACATGTAAATATATACATGTTAAGTTTAAATAAATCATGTGACCTGTGAAGTATATGTGCACTGTGAAAATATGCATGCACTGTAAAATGGTACCAATGTCTAAGGGCACTTATTTGTGTTTTCTGACTTTCTCACAATGAGTATGTATTTCTTTGTAATAAAAGACAACAGACAATTTTAGAAAATAGTTTGGCAGTTTCTTATAAAACTAAACATGCCACTGTACAACCTAGCAATTGTACCCCAGGAGTTTATCTTGGAGAAACAAAAACTCCTGTTTACAGAAAAAATCAGTATATGAATGTTCATAGCAGCTTTATTTATAATAGCTCAAAATAAAAACAACTCAAATGTTCTTCACCAGGTAAATGGTTAAATAAACTGCAGTACATCTGTACTATGGATTACTACTAAGCAATAAAAAAGATGAATTGCTGATATATGCAGCAACCTGAATGAATCTTCAGAGAATTATGCTGAGCAAAAAAACTCAATGCCAAAAAGGTAACAGGTGCTGTATAATTCCATTAACATAACATTCTTGGCTGGGTGCGGTGGGTCACACCTGTAATCCTAGCACTCTGGAAGGCTGAGGCGGGACGATCGCTCTAGGTCAGAAGTTCGAGACCAGCCTGAGCAAGAGTGAGACCTGTCTCTACTAAAAACAGAAAAATTAGCTGGGTGTGGTGGCGTGAGCCTGTAGTCCCAGCTACTTGGGAGGCTGAGGCAAGAGAATCACTTGAGCCTAGGAGTTTAAGGTTGCTGTGAGCTAGGCTAACGCCATGGCACTCTAGCCCAGGCGACAGAGTGAGACTCCATCTCAAAAAATAGAAAAAAGAAAATATTCTCGAAATGACAAACTTATGGAAATGGAGAACAAATTAGTGGTTTCAAGGAGCTGGGGGTTGGGTGAGAGGGAAGTAGGTGTGGCTTTCAAAGGTAACATGAGTAATCCTTCTGCTCATGGAAGCATTCTGGATGTTGACTGTGTCAACAATAACATCCTGATATTGTACTATAGTTTTGCAAGATGTTATCAACAGGGGAAACTAGGTAAAGGGTAACTGGGATTGCTGTATTAGTTCTTAAAACTGCATGTGAATCTACAATTACATTAAAAATTTAATTTAAAAGAAAACAAGGCTGGGTGTGGTGGCTTATGCTTATAATCTTAGCACTTTTGGAGGCTGAGGCAGGAGGATCACTTGAGCCCAGGAGTTCGAGGCTGCATGATGGCACTGTTGCACTCTAGCTTGGGCAACAGAGTGGGACCCTGTCTCAAAAACAAAAACCCAACCCCCAAAAAACAATAGGAATCAATTTTAACTAGAAAAACCATCTACCGTGTTGGATCAATTTTCTTAAGGAAATTTATCTTACAAATAGCAACAAAATTTATGTGTATAGGAAAAAAAAACCCATTGCTATAAGAAATAAAAAGCTCCATTACACCTTCAAATTGGTATATACAAAAACTAAATTTTCAGATAACACATCTTCCCTTCTGATGGCATGATGAGGGGTTACTACACAGTTTTCTCTTCAGCAATGTAACTTATCCTAAGTAGTAACATACAAATGATGGGAGGAGAGGATGGATTGTGGAGAATTAGCATTTACCTGATTCACCAACTTTCTCAGTTCCCGATGCTTGCAAATGTGAGGAACCCCAGGTTTAACTCAAAGTCAGTGGAGGTGTGAGAAGCGACAGACTCAAATAGGAACGAGCACTGTTCAGGTACCCGCCCCCAAAAACAGTGGTTCTCAAACTAGAGCATCTGACTCCTAGGGGGGCCTGTTAACAAAGCAGGCTTCCCCCTTCCCCAGACACATCCCCAGATGTTGATTCTGTGGCTCTGGGCTTTGGTCCACGAATCTGCATTTTTTAGCAAGCACCCCAGTGAAACCAGACTTCCAGGAACACTGCTCTCAGATACCCTGAGAGCTGGACTGGGTCTGGAATGCCCAGGAAGTGACCACAGTCCTCAATGAGAACGGTAGATTTTAGTCATCTTTCCTTAAGGAAGATTAAAGGGATTCTTCTCAGTCAGAAGCTCATAAAGCCAATTACAAGATTAATTGCTAAGAACTGAAGTCATACTAAGGAATGGAAGAGATGTGGATGCTTAACTGAAGAGGAGAGAAGAAAAATGGTAGCCACCTGCTGTGGTGATGGGACTACTGCCAGGTGGTCTCTGGGGCTCTGGGAAATAACTGAGTGTGTGTGAAGGGGATTTTGAGGGAAGCTGGTCTTCCCAGCACTGTGGTCAGGAGCGGTCCAAGAGGACCATATTGTGACCTTGCTTTTTACCCTTGTGAGGACCACGGTGAGCTTGGGAAACAGATTGCATCATACAGACAAAACAAATTACATGCAATAAACATTGTCTAGTCATAGATACTTTCTGTTGTTTTTGCCACCACACTGGGCAAAAGGCTCCATATAACATAGGAAGTCACAGGGGAAATGGGAAGATGTTGGCCAAGTGGTACAAACTTTCAGTTACAAGATGAATAAGTTCTGGAGACCTAATGTACAGCATGGTGACGATAGTTAATGGTATTATATTGCACACTTGAAATTTGCTAAGAAAGTAGATCTTAAGGATTCTTACCGCACAGGCAAACAGAAAAAGGGTGACTAAGTGAGGTGATGAATATGTTAATTAGCTTGATTATGGTAATCATTTCACAATGCATATGTAATAAATCAAAACATCGTATCATCATACACCTTAAATACTGTACATAGTGCAAGTTTTGTTCATCAATTATACCTCAATAAGGCTGGAGGAAAAAATAGGAACTTTACCCCTATCTACTGCTATGGCCACTTCCTCAACCTCTCCCTTCTTCCAGATCTGTTTCTGATCCTCCCAACTCCTAACCAGCCTTTTTTGTGACCTCTTTTCCATCCTTGTCGGCCTTTCTCTGTTTCTTGGCTATGACTTTGGCTTCTCTCAATAATAATTCTGATTATTCACTCCAGCTGCTTTGCCTCTGGTCATCTCAAATATGTACTCTTTTCAGCTCATCATTTCTCCAGGAACCTCCAAGCCCAGTTTCACCTGGTTGAAGAAGCTCTGGCCACACCTGTGTGCTGGTGATGGCAGCTGTAATACCACTGGTGAAGCTCTTGGCTGGAAGTGGCCAGAATAGTGTCTCTTATTCTGCATCTTCTTCTTTTGCTTGTCCTAGTTTGTTTTATCTGCCTGGTCATTCCATACTCCACCTGCTTCACACTTGGTCATGTCTCCAGTGGCCTTTACCTTAAAGGATTAGTTAAGGAATGGCAAGTGGTCTCTTCTCATGTATCGATTCTAATTCATTGTTATTGGCTGCCATGAGTGTGGCGTCAAAAAGAATAGCATCTAACTTTAGTGTGCCATGATCAATTAGCCATGCGTGCCTTGGGTGAAGATGTGGGTAGAGTCTTGCATTCTCAGAAACTGCCATCTTTGGACTAGTTTCTTCTTTTCTTCAGGGCTGATGTATTAACTGCAAATCCTTCACAATATCTCTTTGCATTCCTTTATTCAAACCCCAATCTCTTAGTAAGGAAACTATTTCTAGTGCATTAGCATGTTCCATTCATATTTGCTATAAAAATGCCTGCAAAGCAGAAAGTGCAGGAATTGTGTCCTTTTTCCAAAGAGAACATATTCTACCAATGCCTTTGGCAGAATCCATTTTGTGGTTGTAGTATTTGTATTTGTACAAATCTTCCCAGCTTCAGGTTGGAAAAAGAGTAGCTTTTGGGCTGAATGGTGTCGGGAAAACTGTCCCCCATTATTCCAAAGCCCTTCCCTATGTGGCTGTTTCTTATCTTTTACTATCAATTGTCCATAGTTAGTGGTCTCTTAGGACAATTAGATGATCTCTCTGTCTTACAGTTGAAATGTGAATCCCCAATCGTGGGGGTTAGCACACAGAGTTGCACTCTTACTCCTGACACAAAATCAGGGCATTCCACACCTGGACATTCCTACCCATATGCATTATTGCCTGCTGAGTGTCATCTTCACGAAGGAGCACTGACTCAACTTACCTTGTAGTGGAAGAGAAACAATCCGCAGAACAGGCTGTACAAATCCGCTGTGAGCAGAGAGAGGTTGACGGAAGTGGCACTGGTTTTCTTAATGACGATGGGCATAAAGCTGTAGAGACCAAACATGCAGGCGCTGAAGCCAACATAGAGCAGTCCTGGGGGGAAGGAAAGAGAGGGCAACGTCAGGGCCTCCTCCAGGGCATTTTCAGCATCCACAGGGGGAGAAAGACAGGGAATATAGTGCACACAATCCATCTCCCACAAAAGGCAGTTTTTCTTTCCCTCTACTAACTGATGTTTATTATAGGATAACACATGGGAAAAAATAAAATCAGTAAAAAGTAAAAATTTGTTTGTGAAAAATGAACTTTCTGCTCCTTACCACATAGCTGACATTTTGCTTCTTCTGGGAAGGAGTGCCTCTCAGTGGCTATAATCAGAACACAGGATTCAGGTTTCTGAATTCTATTCCCAACTGTGCTGTAATTAACTTTTGCTACCCATGTATTTTAAATTTTTTTTTACCTCTTAGTTTTTTATTTGCAAAATAGGAACAAAACTGCTTGGCATCATGTATTGTTCACTGTGACGAATAACCACAATCCTTATCATTGAAGGGCTTACGAGTCAAAGAGACCTGGGCTTAGGATAAGGAATCGGAATCCTGACTGTGTGAACTTGGGCAGACCAGTTCATTGCTCTGAGCACAAGACAGTTCACTGTTCTGAGTCACTGTCTTCTAGATTCATGAATTCTGTTCAGCCCTACCCCCAACACCCAAAAGTACACTCTCCCATCTCCTGTCCTACCCTACTGTGAACTCTCACATGTGGGCTCCAATGCTTTTAAAATGCTACATAGCCAGTCATCCTTGAAAATTCTCTCTCTCTCTGTGTATAATTATACCTAGCCACACAATTGTTAATACTAATTCCATGAGTACTCAATTCTGTAAAGCCCCAAGTAGGAGGTTACAGCTAAATCTAGAGCTTGGTTCATCTTTTCCCAGACGTTGACACAATACAAATGTAGAAAAATAATGCTCATTCCTGTACCTTGAAAGAATAAGGTATAGAATTAGCATGAGTGATACAATTCAGCAGATCCTTGGGCATTACACTACAATAAAAATAACCTTTCCAAAGGAATCCTTGATTAAATGAGTCTGGTGTGGGATGGGAGCTGATTGCTTCCTCTGAATTCTGTGAATTTTGGAGGATTTGGTAGGTACTAGACATCCAGACCCTGTGACCATGGAGATCAGTGATGAGAAATTTGGTTTGCCTATACGAAAAGTACTTAAGGGCACAAGTTATCATTCTATATGCTTCTGATACTAAGTATAAGGAAAGCCACATCAGATCTATATAAGAAAATTATTTTAAACA